CTTATAATAATTCCAAGAGAAATGTGACTTGCAATAATTATTTCACTGATCTTATTAGCGTCTCGACGCTAACAAACGCTCTCGAAGATAAAGTACAATTTTATTGTCTTGTACATATATAATTATTTTTTGACTTATGCGTTTTATTTATTTTGTAAAAATTGTTTTTGTCAGCCTTATTTATAAGCTGCTAATTAATATAGTCTTTTTTTAGGGTTTTCACACAGTAATGATGAGCAACAACACAGTAATCTTTTTCCAGGGTATGCGTAACCATCAAACCCTATTTTTAAATAAAATGGCCTGGTAGACTTACAAAAATTTTATTTATTTACTAATTAAGTTTTTGTTTGCCTTCAAATATGGATTGCTTGTGAATAAATATTTTTTCTTCAAAAGCTTTTTTGCATTTTATTACTTTGTGCAAATCCTTCAGGTAGATCGCACCCTCGAGATAGATCGCATACTATAGTAGAACCTTTTTTTTTTAATCTAGACAATTTAAATTTAACTTCAATAAAAAATAAAAAAAATAATAGAAATATACGGATAAATATAAATAGTACATTCAAGAACTGTGGTGGGCCCAAGGGATCCGAGTTGCCGGTGACGTTAGTAACATGTGTTGTCCGGAAAAGGGTTAAGCTGATATAACGAATAGTATTTTTTTTTATTCATAAAAAATAAGATCAAAATTAAGCAGTTATGGCACAATAATATTTTGTTACAAATCCAAAATTGTCATAAAATTGTAACAAATATATATATATATATATATATATATATATATATATAATTGTTTGCCGTAACTAGCTGTAAAGGTTATTATAGAACCGAAATATCTTTCTGTTTAAATAATTGATGGATTCGACCGTTACTTGATGGAAATTCATTTTATGTAACAATAAAACACTGACAACTTTGTTTTCAAACTTCCACAAAATTTATTTTAAATCCTATCACTACAGCTGTTTCGGCTGATTTCCTTTCTCAAGTGATCTATTTTTGGCTTGGGTTTACAAATTTATAGTCTCTAATGAAATAGGTTGAGGAGGGGAGAACTGTTTGTCTCAAGTTGGTCATTCAGAATTATATCTGTGTTTTTTAATTTGTTGATTTCCATAGATTCTAACAAAGATAGCTTAAGGCCTTTGTTTTGAATGTTAAGAATTTTAAATTTGTCATTAAAAGAATGATTATGATCTAGAAGGTGAAGTGCGTATGTCGAATCTGTTTTTCTATTCTTGAAAGCCCTTTTATGTTCTGCTATTCGTTTATCAAAGTTTCTACCAGTTTGACCGATGTAAGTTTTTGGGCAGTCGCCACATTGAAGTTTGTACACACCACTATTCAAGTGTTTTTTATTTTGGCACTTGTTATTTTTAATATATTTGCCTAGGTTGTTATTTGTTCGGAAAGCTGGTGTTATTCCTTTCTTTTTTGTGTGTTTGGCAATTTTTGTTGTTATTTTGCCTGTATATGTAATCGAGCGGAAGGTACTGGGTTTTTTCTCTGGTGGTTTAAATACTAATTTCAGGGCTTTCTTGTGTATTTTTGGATTTGACATTTTATTAATTGTTTGTCCGTTGTATCCGTTGTTTACTGCTATTTGCTTGATTATATTTAATTCTGTCTCAAAGTTGTATTTTGACATCGGAATTTCTGTTAATCGATGTAACATACTATTATAAGCTGCCAGTTTATGTTGTGTTGGATAGGATGATGAATTGTGTATAGTCGTGTCAGTATGGGTAGGTTTATGAAATATGGAGAAGTCATGTTTGTTTTGAAGTCTGCTAATTTTTAAATCTAAAAAATTTATGGATTGATTTTGTTCTGTTTCTATTGTAAATTCAATATGATATTGCAGATTCAATATTTTATATCAATATATTAATTCACTTCATAGTAAGTACATATATGTAATCACCTTCTGCTCGATTACATATACAGGCAAAATAACAACAAAAATTGCCAAACACATAAAAAAGAAAGGAATAACACCAGCTTTCCGAACAAATAACAACCTAGGCAAATATATTAAAAATAACAAGAGCCAAAATAAAAAACACTTAAATAGTGGTGTGTACAAACTTCAATGTGGCGACTGCCCAAAAACTTACATCGGTCAAACTGGTAGAAACTTTGATAAACGAATAGCAGAACATAAAAGGGCTTTCAAGAATAGAAAAACAGATTCGACATACGCACTTCACCTTCTAGATCATAATCATTCTTTTAATGACAAATTTAAAATTCTTAACATTCAAAACAAAGGCCTTAAGCTATCTTTGTTAGAATCTATGGAAATCAACAAATTAAAAAACACAGATATAATTGTGAATGACCAACTTGAGACAAACAGTTCTCCCCTCCTCAACCTATTTCATTAGAGACTATAAATTTGTAAACCCAAGCCAAAAATAGATCACTTGAGAAAGGCAATCACCCGAAACAGCTGTAGTGATAAGATTTAAAATAAATTTTGTGGAAGTTTGAAAACGAAGTTTTCAGTGTTTTATTGTTACATCTTTCTGTTTCCTATCTAGGATGTGATTGGAAAAATGTATTTGATATACCATGCGAATTTATTCCATATTTATGGAATAAATTCATTTTTAGCGTTATTATGTACTATGTGAAAAAAACCTGAAACGGGTCGATTTTTGTTCTTAAATTGACAATTTACAGTATAAAAATAATTACCCCTCCTGCACCCTCTTTGAATTATAAGCACTGCCTCGAAATTTTTAAATAGCAAAGGGGGTCGTGTAGCCCTTTGTTAGAAAGAGATTTTAGTCCTCTGTTATATAGCCTCAGCAATATAAAGTGTTTTAGTGCATGAAAGCCTAGTAAAAGAGGTAGATGAAATGCTGAAGTTAGGTATTATTGAGCCCAGTACTTCTTCTTTTTGTAGCCCTTTGTGGTTGACAAAAAAGAAAGACGGGATTTTTCGTGTCTGTTTTGACGGACGTAAACTTAACAGTATAACCATGAACAGAGATGCGTATCCTATACCTCGTATAGATAAGTTACAAAACGCTAAACTCATTTGATCTATTGACTTGAAGAAAGCATTTTTACAGATTCCACAATTATAACTGAGAAAATTGATTTTTACAATATTAAATTAAATGTTCGACTTGACCACTATTATTCAATTCTTGACAATAACCGAGGCGATTTTGGAATTCTCATACAGCATTTTGTATGATCTGGGGGGTTATTTTTTTAATTTCTTCTGGTATCCTAACTTTTATATCAGCAATATTGCCGAGTATATTAAAATATACTTTCGAAATAATCAGGTATTTTCGTATCTGTTCTGCCAAACATTAGGAAAAAAGCTTTGAAGATAATAAAATATTAGTCAAAAATCAAAATAAACAAATGATATGAATCTAGTAGGCTGCTGCCATTTAGGTATTTAAGGTTACTAGAAGACGTGAGTATAATATTTGTGCGCGTATTAAATTTAATTAATTAAATCCAAGACTAAAAGAATGGACATTTTTATTATGATTGGTTGTGGGAATAGAACAAGAGCTCAAAAAGAGGTTTGTGAAATGTTAATAATGAATACCCTGGTCAACAAGTTTCGTAGTCTACAGTTAGCACAATTGCAAAGAACTTTCGTTGTACTGGACATGTAAAAAATATTGAAAAACCAGGTAGAAATATTAAATTTATTGATGAAAAAAAGTTAGATGTACTTCTAGAGATTGAGAAAAATCCGCATAAGACAACTCGAGAACTTGCCGCCGTCAGTAATGTAAGTAAATCATCTATTTTGAGAGCTTTACATAAAGAAAAATACCATCCTTACAGAGTTCAGTTGGTTCAGGAGTTAAATGAAGATGATCCTAATCGAAGGCAAGAATTCTGTGAAATGATGATGGACAGAATATACGCAGATTTGCAGTTCATAAATAAAATAGTTTTTTTTTCTGATTAAGGGACGTTTTATTTAAACGGAACGGTTAATAAACATAACTGTAGATAATGGAGCAGAGAATATCCTTACTGGGTGTGTGAGACTCACACGCAATATCCTAAAAAAATTAGCCATTGGGCTGGTATCATTAACAATAAAATTATTGTTCCTTACAGTTGATGATGAGGTTTATCTAGATTTTTTCATTTTTTTTTCTTTTAAGTGCCTACATTACGAATATTTTTTTCTAATGTTATTTATTCAAATTAGATAGGAGTTTATCTATTTACTACCAACAAGATGGAGCTCCATCGCATTTTGCACTGATAATTAGTATTTATTTAAACGAGGTTTTTCCCAATAGGTGGAAAGGAAGACGTGGAACGATCGAATGACCGACTAGATCCCCCGAATTGACTCCTCCCGATTTCTTCTTATGCGGTTATTTAAAATCTAAAGTATAATTTAATAGACCAAACAGTATTGCTGATTGAAAAGTTAGGATAACGGAAGAAATTAACAAAATAACTCCCAGAGTCGTACAAAATGTACGAGAAATCCAAAATCGCCTCGGGTATTGTCACGAAGTGATTAGTGGTCATTTTGAACATTTAATTTAATTGTAAATTACATTGAAGAATACATTCTAAATATTATGTGACATTATTATCTTCATTGAACCTAAAGTTTTGTTATAAAGACATTATCAAAGTTTTACAATTTAAAAATTAATTTCCTTAGTTATGATTGCACAAACTCAAAAAACTTGATATTGGTGGATAGATGACTAAAATCCCTTTCTAACAAGGTGCTATACGATCCCCTTTGCTATTTAAAATTTTCGAGGGGGTGCTTATAATTCAAAGGGGTTGCTGGAGGTGGATATTATTTTCATGCTGTAAATTGAGAATTTAAGAATAAAAATCGACCTGTTTCAGGTTTTTTTCACATAGTACTTAATAACGCTAAAAATGAATTTATTCCATACATATGGACTGCATGGTAATTAATTACACATAGCTGGCATACAACAAAATTTACGCTTGAAGTAAGAAATTGAACTTACGTATAAATATTTGGCCATTCCATAAAAATCGGAGAAAATGTTATTTAATCCATATATTTCAGTTATCCAAACAGTATTGTAGATCACTTTTTCACGATAATACTATTTTTGTATGAAAATTAAAACGTAACGCAATGATAATACTTTTACAATTTATTCGTTATTTTACCAAAAGATATCATTTTATTGCGATTAATTTTTGTAAACTGTTGTTTGTTGTCTGAATTTAAAGGTCACAAATAATGTCTTTTTGCAACATACAACACTTAACCTCGTACAGAGATCTTATAATTAGGAATGAATAAAAGCGCAAGCAACACTTATCTAACTTATTAGTAAAATGCGGTGGTCATGTAGCTATATTATATAACTATTGACAATATCGATATTTGATTTACGCTTCAAATTTTAGTATTTTCCCGGAAATTCCCATTACAAATGTTTATTATGTGCTTAAGCTCCAAGACAGTAGCGGGTGCTGGGATAATCGCAGTACAAGCAACCCTTGACTTAATTTAATTCACTACTAGCGGACCAACTCAAGATCGAGTTTTTTAAATGAAATTTTTATTTTGCGAGAAAAATTAAGAGATCAATACAAACAATATAAGCAAGAATATACATAACATTCATTAATAATAATGCAAGTAAAAAGTGTAGTAAATATCACGAAATATTTATAAAGCGGAAGTCGACCTCAAAACCGGAATGCAATTTTTAGTTCATCAAATGTCGACATGGATATCATTTAGCAGTTAATTTTGCATGCTGATCACGAATCCGGTGTCAGATTTGCTCTATCTTGCGTTTTATGCGCGTTTCGGGTCACTTACGGTGTCGGATCGCAACCGGAAGTACATATTTAGATTCGTCTCGACGAGACCTTTCGATCCATATATACATTGTGGGGTCTAAAACTTAAAGTAAATTTTAACTTCCGGTCATTTCAAAACCGGAAGTGAATTTTTGTACCAAAAGTATATCTTGACAATCGCATACGTAATACTAATAATTAGTTTTATTAATTCATATATAATATAATAATTAATTTCTAACAAGAAAAGGGCTTAGAGTTTTAGTATATAAGATTAACTGATATGAGGGGTGTGAAGTCAACGTCAGCAATGTCCCATTTCCATAATTTTGGGAAATCGCGAGAATCTGTAGAAACTAATAAAATTAAATTAAAACAATAAAATTGATGAAGAATGATATAAAATTTGGTTTATGATCGGATATACAGAAAGAGGAGGTTAAGAAATGATTTCTTCTCCTTTTTTTAAATATTTTAGTTTGGAGATTGTTGTTTTTGTTTGCAATACTTGGAGATTGACGTATATGAAAATGATCTATAAGGATATTGCCAGTTTTGAAAGTAATAAAACAATATTGTGTCGGTTACGTAGTAAAAAACATATATTTTGATATTCAACAATAATATAATATGTAAACAATTTGCATACGTATCACTTAAAGTAAAATATCCGGAAGTTCGGGTATATATTCACAGGTTTCGACAGACTCTAACTCTGGAACAGGATTCTCCAAGTTGCTTCCAATTTGCTTCTTGATCATAACGTTGAAAAAGCTAGTAGTTAAGCTAGAGTTACTTCCAGTCTAAACCAAAATGTTTGGTCAAAAAGATTTCGCACATCACGCAGTTTTAAATTATTTACTTTGTGAGCATCGCGGATAAGATTTTCTGGATTGATCATGTTAATCTGTTTGCCTTTTCGTGTGCAATTTACAAAAGATCCGAAATCGTTTTTGTAATGAAGTTCATGTCGTATTAAAACATTTCGTGTCCTTCATAGTTTTAAAATTTAGGGTAAAGTAAGGTATATTCGTGATAATTATAAGTTTTTTTTTTTTATTCGGTTAATACCTCGACAACTATGATCATTGGCATGGTACAGTCAGGTACCTAGTGTAGTGTGTGTGTGTGTGTGTGTGTGTGTGTGTGTGTGTGTGTGTGTGTGTGTGTGTGTGTGTGTGTGTGTGTAGAGTAATTGTCTTGATACTTAGCAAAGTCGACGTCATTGTCTTTGCTAAGAGACGCTAATTTTATCAGAACGTCTACGGTCTGCAGTAACAACTTCAAGTTACTATTTTGTGTAAAATATTATAAAGTTTAATAATTTATATATTTTTTAAAATTTTGTTCAGGTAAGATAATTTCGTGATATGGATATTCAATGTCGTGATAGAGGTAAGGTAAATTCGTGACAAGCCAATTTGTGCGCATAAAATTTGTTTAATAATAAAAATTATTCATTAGGTAATTTCTTAACAAATCTAGATTCTAAATTGTAACAAAATCTAAATCAGATTCTAAATCTAAATTCTTAACAAAACAAAATTAGAATTCTTTAACATAAGAAAAGTAAATCCATATTTAAAAAAAAATAAAACAAAACTACATTAATTAAAAACAAAAACAGTTGGTAGACAAATAACTTAATCTTCTTCAGAATCACTAATGGTGTCTTTATTGTTTTCACACATGTCATACATAAAAACTGCCTCTTCGGCATCAGACGATTGGCACATAACATGGTATGGAATCATGCAGTAGGAACACTGGATCCATTTGGCACCATTTTTTTTACATCTGGTGAATAACTATTACCACACATTCTGCAGTCCCAGTCATTATCTTCAGAAACCACTTTCTTAGGTTTTTGATTGGTTAGGGCTAGAGCGCAGGATGATGACGTAGACGGTGCATGAATTGGTGAAGAAGGCACAACACTTTCAGGATAATAGACTTGGTGATGACGTAGATGCTGTACCGCTTATTGAAAAAGGCACAACACTTCAATTGCGTTTCTTTCTATTCGGATTCGCAGCAACTGGCCTTGTTGGAAGAGACAATATGTTGGCAAATGGATTTTGTTGAGTAGGAGCTCCTGTACTTTGATTAGGTATCTCATTAGAAGTGAGTAGAGAAGGAACAAGAGCTTTCTTAGGAATGGCATTTATATTAAAGGATATAGGCCGATTATATATGCCAGATTCAGTATGGTGTGAAAATTGGTTCTGCTAGGCTTCTCCGCATTGTCTTTCATATAAGCATTTAAGCTTTTGGCCCAATGAGCCTTTAATGACTTATAAAAACCTACATCGAGTGGCTGTAACAGATGGCTAGTGTGGGCCGGAAATGTAAATGAACAAACACCATTTTAAGACGCAAAAGATATAACTGCCAGATTGATGTGTGATTCATGGGAATTCATTAATAAAATTACTGGTCGGGTAGAGGTAATTGCGGCAATAAAGAATTGAAACCATTCCAAAAAAATCTCACTGTTGATCCATCCTTTTGGAGAAAGTTTTACTTGTGTATTTGGTAGGCAATCTTTTTTTAAATTATCGTTCCATCGAACCCCTTTGAAAATTATCTACGGTGCAATCCACGTTCCATGGCACAAAGGAGCACAATCCCATCATGGTTTGAGATTCGCCTCTATCTTCATATGCTCTGACATAACGTTTGTCAACCGAGATAACGACTTTACTTGGTTTGACCACATAAGTTAGTCCGGTTTTATCGCAATTCCATAGACGATCGGGATTATTTTGAACTCCAAGTCTAATCATTAATGTTTCTAATTTTGTATAAAAATCCCCTCGTATTTCATTATTTGACATTGAATCGCTTTGTGTACTGAGCCCACCACCATTTACTAGCAGATTCGTTTTCTTTATTAAAGAAGTGATCTCCCTCCGTATATTGTGCAAGTTGAAAGGCTATCTTTTTTATCATCTGCACCGTCAAACCAAATCCCAATTCTTGCATTTTTATAATGTAATTAAACAACTCTCTTTAAGCTCCCGCACCGTAGACTCTATACCTGAAAATCACCGGCAGACTCACCCGGTAAAATAATCAGAAATCAAATAGATTATATCACTGCACCAATTACATTTAGAAACTCCATCAAAGCCGTAAAAACTTACCCGCGTGCGGACGTAGGATCAGACCACAATCCGGTGGTATGTAAGTTTGAAGTAAAGTTAAAAAAGCCAAATATAAAGAACAGGCCCGAAACGCTAGATATTGAGAAGCTTTCCAACAATAATATTAAACAACAGATGCAGGAGAATTTAAATACCGAAATATAAAAAATCCTTAAAAATAACAATGAACCGCTGGAAAAGTGGAGTGAAATTAAAGAAGAGATTAGGACTTCAAGCACTAAGTTTTTACTACCGGATAAGAGAAAAAAGAAAGACTGGATGACTGCAGAAATTCTTGACATGATGGAAGAGAGACGAATATATAAAACTAAAGATACTGCCAAATACCGTGAAACCCATAGACGAATAAGAGCTGAGATAAGAAAAACTAAAGAGACATGGTTCTCGGAGAGATGCGAAGAAATCGAACAGTGCGAAAAGGTATACGACTATCACAAAAGGCATAAGAAGATAAAGGAACTTACAACAAAGAAAAGCTACAATATTTTATCGAAAGGGCTGTGCGATGATAATGGAAATCTAAAACTAGACCCCGAAAAAATAGTTAGAATCTGGGAAACTTATGTAGAACAACTGTTGTAATGATGACCGTCCTAGTGGGTATACACTGAGCAATGATGATACTGGCCCTTCTATTCTAAAATCAGAAGTGGAGAATGCTATAAAGGGTCTTAAAAATAACAAAAGACCAGGCAACGATAACGTATACGGGGAAGTATTGAAAATGCTGTGCGAAACAAACAGTAAATTTCTAGACTCACTCGTCAGACTCTTTAACAATATTTATAACAGCGGGGAGTTTCCTGAAGACTGGCTAGAGTCCACTTTTGTTGCCATACCGAAAAAACCAAAAGCAAAGTCTTGTGATCAACATCGGATGATAAGTCTAATTAACAACATTTCGAAGGCATACACCAAGGTTATTTACAACAGAATAAGCAAACAATGCGAGGATAACATTGGAGATTCGCAGTTTGGGTTTCGGAATTCTCTTGGAACAAGAGAAGCACTTTTTAGATACAGGTTCTCATCCATCGCTGCAAAGATATGAACAAAGACGTGTACATATGCTTTATAGACTACGCAAAAGTATTCGATAACGTAAAGCACGAAAAGATAATTGAAGTTCTCCATAAGATCGGAGTCGACTACAGAGAAATTCGAACAATAGCGAGTCTCTATTAGGGTCAAACAGCTAAAGTGAAAGTAGGATCTACATTGACCAATAAAATTGAGATCAA